GCGGCAGGCAGAGGGAGAGGGAGAAGCAGGCTCCCCGTCGAGCATGGAGCCTGATGTGGGACTCGATCCCAGGACCCCGGGACCATGACCTGAGCCGAAGGCAGATGCTTAATGATGAGCCCCCCAGGTGCCCCTGTATTACATTATCTTTTAAAGATTACAGTAATTGTCCTTAGTACTCCTATTCATGTAGTTTTGTGGCAAGAGGTGGTTTTTTTGTTTGTTTGTTTTAAGATTTTATTTTTTGGACAGAGACATAGCGAGAGAGGAAACACGAGCAGGGAGAGTGGGAGAGGGAAAAGCAGACTCCCGCTGAACAGGGAGCCCGATGTGGGGCTTGATCCCAGGACCCTGGGAGCATGCCCTGAGCCGAAGGCAGATGCTTAACGACTGAGCCACCCAGGTGCCCGTGGCAAGAAGTTGTTTATTCAGAATGGGTTCCACAGTGGAGTATTCTCATATAATTGAATGTGCAGATACTATCATTCATAGACTTAGAAATATATAGATAATAGTAAATATACAAACTCTTAGGCCATTCTGAGTGGTACTGATCATTCCTTGATGATTTTAGATATTCAGTGCCTTTGACAGTATCATGAATAGCTATGGTTTTGTTAGGGATTTTGAAGTATCTGGTTGCATTACGTTAATATTTGTTTAGATTCTGGGGAAAGGGGAAAGATTTTATTTATATTTGAAAAATAAACTATTAATCTATCATAGATTATTACTTTTAGATTATAAAATTTCTAAATTATAAAAGCCATGGTCCCTGTACCAACAGTGTCATTGACACATACTGTGTGCTCATAAGTATGTATTTGTGAATAAACAGTTGAATGAATAAATGAATGCCATTGATGAACTTCTTTAGAAGAAGCAGATCTTTAGTTTATTGAAAGTGGATTTTCCATATTGCCTAGGTATGAAGTCTTTTTATTTTAAAAAATATGTGTAAGATTCATAGAGTATAATTATAGCTAGAAATGGAATAATAGTAGATTCATTTGCTATCATATTAGTTAGAAAGACTTAAATATTACTTTCACCACATACTGTAAAACACATGTTTTTGAAGGCACATATCCTGGATAAGTTACTTATTTCTGTGCCTCATTTTCTTCCTGTGTAAAATACCTAATATGAGTATCTATGTTTATAAGATTGTTGTGAGGCTTAAAATACTTTTAAGGTGTGTACAGCGTTCATAATGAGGCATAGTAGTTGCACAGTAAATCCTCAAAACACTAGTATCATGATTATTAAAAAAGGGTTTCTTTCATATAAGAACTCAACTTGCACTTTCCAGATAGTTTTTAGAGCCAATAAAAGCTTGTTTTTATTGAAAATGACAACAAAAAATGTGGTGTATTTCTTCGTATCAAATAATGCAAGTAACATTATGATTTTCCTTTGCTTTTTGTGGATTTTATCTAAATTTAATGCTTTGTTATTATTATTAATAATATTGTTTAGCTATGATTTAGATATTCTTTGTATTTTAAGTATTTAATACTTGCCTGAAAGGAATTGTTTTTTTTTTCTTAGACCTGCAAAGAAAACATCTCATGAAAAGAAAGAGGTAAAAAATATATATATAATTTTATTTCATTTATGAATTTTTTAATTTTCACTTTCTTATATTACTTTGATAAATAATACTTATTAGAAATGTTATTCCATGGTAAGAAATTACTTTAGGAAAGGTATAGTGAAAAAATAGAAAATCTTCCTTTGTTGTATAGACATTTATTGTGAAAAAGTTATTCAGAAATACTAATTATTGATAAAGGTCGTTTTGATAAAAATCAGTTCTTTTAAAAAGTACCTATGTTTTTGCTCCTATAAAAAGATGGGTATTGATCATCTCTCTACACTTGGTATATTTTATGAATATTTGGGGGACATTTTGAAATAGTATTTTTTATTTGTAGGTCAAAAAGCAAATGAATTTTATGGATGACCTTGACTTAACTGAGTCATCTGGAACAACTTCAGAGGATTCCAAGTTGCCTTGCTCTAATTATATGAGTTGCGTGTCGCTACCTGCACAAGTTGGCAAGGATTGTAAAGGTAGAACCATTGTATCAATATAAAGCCTTTGTACGTATATCACCGTAGTAATAAGTGCACGTCTTGTATAGTGCTGTACCACACAACACTCATGCGGTACTCATCTCAGAAATACGTTTTATATGAAAACAGAGAACTGTTGAATACTCTCAGCCAAAGGGCTATAATTTCCACTCTATGTTTTGTCATGGGAATGGCACACCTGATGTGTTGTTAACTCTGCTTCTCTTCTGTGCCTTCACCCAAGGTCGGGTTACCATTATTTTTCTCCTAGAATACTGAAATAACCTCAGGACTGTTTTCCCTGTCATTCTACCTCCCAGAATCTTGGTCTCCACTGCAACCGTAGTTATCATAATTTTTAAAAATTCATGTTTCATCACATTACCCCCTTGCTTAAAGCTTAGCTATTACTTCTCATTGCTCTAAGGTGAAAGACCGCAGTACTCTAGCTTCATCTTGTATTGTTTCATATCCTTCTTTTTTTTTTTAATTTTTTTTTAAAGATTTTATTTATTTGACAGGGAGAGACACAGCGAGAGAGGAAACACAAGCAGGGGAAGTGGGAGAGGGAGAAGCAGGCTCCCCGTGGAAAAGGGAGCCGGATGCGGGCCTCGATCCCAGGACTCTGGGATCATGACCTGAGCCGAAGGCAGACGCTTAACAACTGAGTCACCCAGGCGCCCCTGTTTCAGATCCTTCTTTCCATCTGTGTCTCAGCCACTGTTTTCGATGTTTTTTCCTATAATAGAGCTTTTTTTTCCCCCAACAACTTTAGTTAGGTAAACTGCACATATAGGAAGTGTATACTTTGATAGGTTTGACATATGTATATGCCTATGAAAACATAACCGTAATTCAGGCAGTTGACATATCACCCGTAAGTCTCATGTCTCTTTATATTCCCTTATCATGAAACTGCCAAATTGTTTTCTAAAGTAGTTGTATGATTTTCCATTCCCACCAGCAGTGTATGAGAGTTCTAATTTCTCCCTGTATATTCATGAACACTTAGTATTGTCAGTTTTTTAAATCTCAGCCATTCTGATGGGCATTTAATATATATATCATTATGGTTTTAATATACATTTCCCTAATAACTGATAATGTTGAGCATATTTTCATGTGCTTATTTGCCATCTGTATATCTGCTTTGAACTATCCAAATCCTTTGTCATTTTAAAAATTAGGTTGTTTTCTTATTTGTTGAGTTTTGAGAATTCTTTGTATATTCTAGATATAGTTCCTTTATCACCTATATATATTTTTTAAGATTTTATTTATTAATTTCACAGAGAGAGAGAGACAGCTAGAGAGGGAACACAAGCAGGGGGAGTGGGAGAGGGAGAAGCAGACTCTCCGCTGAGCAGGAAGCCCGATGCAGGGCTCGATCCCAGGACCCCGGGATAATGACCTGAGCCGAAGGCAGACACTTAATGACTGAGCCACCCAGGCGCCCCTCACCTCTATTTTCTCCCAGTCTGTGACTTTTCATTCTCTCCACAGTGTCTTTTGAAGAGCAGTTTTTCTTTTTGATGAAATCCGGTTTATCCATTTGTTCTACGGATTTTTGCTTTCGGTGTTCCTATCTAAGAAATCTTTGCCTAGCACAAAGTCAGAGGTTTTCTCTCATGCTTTCTTTTAGAAGTTTCGTAGTTTAAAAACAAAGTTTTATAGTTTTAGGTCTTACATGTAGATCTGTGATCCATGGGATCCGTGTCATCATTTTGTATTCTTTTTTAAGATTTTATTTATTTATTTGACAGAGAACATGAGCAGGGGGAATGGCAGGCTGAGGGAGAGAGAAAAGCAGGGTCCCCGCTGAGCAGAGAGCTGGACATGGGGCTCGATCCCAGGACCCTGGGAGCATGACCTGAGCCAGGGGAGACACTCAGCCAACTGAGACACCCAGGCGCCCACATTCTCTATTCTTTTTTTTATTTATGATGCATAGTATGGATCCAGGTTCATTCTTTTTTCATATGGCTATCCAGTTGTTCCCGCACCATTTGTTGAAAAGACTATGTTTTCTCCACTTCCTGCCATTGTGTCTTTGTCAGGACCACTTGACCATATGTGTGTGGGTTTATTTATGGACTGTCCCATTGATCTCTTGGGCCTTCTTTATGTCAATATCATGCTGTTTTAATTACTACCAGTGTATGATGATTTTTGAATTCAGGTGGTTAGTGTTAGTCCTCCAGTTTTGTTCTTTTTCAGGGTTCTTTGGTATTCTATTCTAGATCCTTTGTGTTTCCAGAACATGAATTGTATTTATTTATTTATTTTTTCCACATGAATTTTAGAATCAGTTTGTCATTTTCTCAAAAAAACAAAAAAAAAACAAAAAAACGACTCTGGTGGTCTTCTGGAGATCAGGTTTGGATTATGTTGAATCTACAGGTTAATCTTAACAATATTGAATTTTTCCACCCCAAACAGGGTATATCTCTCCATTTATATAAGTTTTCTTTAATTTTCTTGGTAATCTTTTGTAGTTTTTAGTGTATAAGTCTTTCTATCTTTTATGTTATTACCTGTGGTTATTTTTTATTTTTCAATACAGTTTCAATTTTTTAATTAATAATTAAAATTAATTTTTAATTCTTAAATTTTAATTTTTGTCTATTGCTCATATGTAGAAATACAGTTGATTTTTGTATAATGATTCTGTATCCTCCAAACTTGATGAGTTCATTTATTAGTTCTAGTAGCTTTTTAAAAAATTCTGTCAGATTTTCTACATAACCAAAGGTTATCACAGTTTAACTACTGTTTTACTGATTTCTTAAGGTGGAGGCAAAGGTCATCAATTTGAGACTTTTCTTCTTTTTTAATATTTACATTCAGTGCTGTAAATGTTCATATGAGTGCTACTATAGCAGGATTTCAGAAATTCTAATGTGTGTATTCAATTCAGAATACTTTCTAATTTCTTTTGTCATTACTTCTTTGACCCGGGGGTTATTTAAAGATTTTATTTATGTGTGTGAGAGAGAGAGAGCATGAGCTGGAGGGGAAGCAGCCTCCCCTCTGAGCAGGGAGCCACATGTGGGGCTTGATCCCAGGACCCTGAGATCATGACCTGAGCTGAAGGCAGATGCTTAATCAATTGAGCCACCCAGGTGCCCTGACCTAGGGGTTATTTAGATGTGTGTTAATTAGTTTGTGGTCACAGAGCACACTTTCATGACTTCAGTCCTTTTGACTTGCTCCTTTTATTACAATTTATTTTATGACCCAAAATATAGTCTCCTTTGGTAAGTGTTCCATGGATAGCTGAGAAGCATGGTGGTGTTCCAGTCTACTATATCCTTGCTGATTTTCTGCCTATTGAAATCTCAGACTATAATTGTGAATTTGCCTGTTTCTCTGTAATGCTATCGATTTTTGCTTTATGTATTTTGAACCTATTAATAGATGCATAAACATTTAGGTTTGTTATGCTTCTTTTAATTGACCCTTCTATCATTATAAAATGACCTTATTTATTGCTGCTAATGTGTTTTGCCATGAAATCTATTTTGTCTGGTATTAGTATAGCCACTCAGGCTCAGCCTTCTTTTGTCAAGTTGTTAGTGTGGTCTGTCATATTTCTGGCCTTTTAAAAAATTTGTGTCTTTACACTTAAGGTGTATTTTTTTAATGGGTGGCATATAGTTGGGTCTTCCTTTTTCATCCATTTTGACAGTCTGCCTTTTCATTGAGGCTTTCGGACCATTTTCATTTAATGTGATTATTGATGTGGTGGATTTGAATCTGTCATCATATCGTTTGACTTCCATCTGTCCTTTCTGCTTTTTGCTCCTATTCTCTTCTTTTTCTGCTTTCTTTTAGATTAATCAAGTAATTTTTATGATTTAGTTTTATTTATGTGAGTGTGCGTATGTGTGTATTTTGCTTACTCTAGCTATAACTCTTTAGTTGTGCTATTTTAGTGATTAGGGTTTAAAGTATATGACTTAAGCATCACAGTCCCCCTTGAGTAATGTTATATCACATCATAGTAGTTTAAGAAAAGTATAATAGCTTACTTCCATTTCTTCTCTCCTAGCCAGATCCTTCTGGATCTGTGGGATGATAGTTTTCATTATTTAGAAAGGTTTTGGTCATTTTTTCTTTCCTTTTTTAAAGATTGTATTCATTTATTTGAGAGAAGGAGAGTGAGAGGGCACGAGCGGGGGAAGGGGCAGGGCAGAGGGAGAAGCAGACTCCCCAGTAAGCAGGGAGTCTGACACGGGGCTTGATCCCAGGACCCTGAGATCATGACTTGAGCTGAAGGCAGACACTTAACTGACTGAGCCACCCAGGCACCTCTAAAATATCTTTTATATTGAAGTCATTCAATATATATTTGTTTAATGTATGAGGGAGTGAATGGGAAAACACATAGTCCTTTATATGCAAAAAATACTCATATATTTTATTTCTTTTTTTTTAAAGATTTAATTTATTTGAGAGAGAGAGAGAGAGAGAGAGAGTATGAGCGGGGGGGGGGGGGAGAAGAAGAGAGGGGGAGGGAGGAAAGAATCTCAAGCAGACCCTGTGCTGAGTGTGGAGCCCGATGCGGGGCTCGATCCCAGGACTCTGAGATTATGACCGGTGCCGAAACCAAGAGTTGGATGCTTAACCAACTGAGCCACCTAGGCGCCCTATATGTTTTATTTGTTCTTCTTTTTTTCTCTGATGTAGATTCTGCTACTTTACTAAAAATCCAGGATGCGATTCTTTCGTATAAAAGATTAGTAGAACAACTTAAAAAATAAAAAAATGGAAAATAAGGTTAATGGACTACAAAAGGAGCTATCAGAAACAAAAGAATTGAAATCGCAGTTGGAGCATCAAAAAGTGAAATGGGAACAAGAACTTGGCCGTTTGAGGTATGACATCTTGGTTTTAAGGAAATATTTGAAGTATTTACCTTTTTTTTTTTTTTTTAATAGGCTCCACACCCAGTGTGGGGCTTGAACTCACAGCTACGAGGTCAAGAGTTGCATGCTCTACCAAGTGAGCCAGCCAGGTGCCCCTTGAACTACTTACTTTTGTAATACAGATGTGTAGGAGAAGTGTTATAATTGCTACCTTACCTTCTGGAATTTTTCTAGGGAAGACAACTTCTTTAGTAGTGTGAAGTGTGAGATTCTTCAAAATAATTCAGCAAGTTCTTGACAGTGAATACTTCTACTGATAATGTATATTCCATATCATAATTTTAATGGCCATATAGAAGTCCACCATATGGAATCCTCCTTATTTAACAAATTGAAGTTTGGTTATTTTCCATTTTTCTATACTTTAATTAATGCTGTAAGGACTATCTTTTATATAAATCTGTTTCTACAATTCTAGTTACTTACTTGGAATAAATTCTTCAATATAGTATTGTTTGCTTAAAGTATAAAAATTTTTAAAGAAGGTCTTTGATCCTATTTTTAAACTGTTCTCGGGGAAGTTTATGTTAATTTCTATGCCCATCAACAGAGTATGAAATGGCCATTTTTCTCAAGACAGGAAAACTTGTTAAAATTTATTCAGTTTTAAACATATGCAGCGATTAAAAAGTAAAATGGAAAATGATTACTGCTCAGTTTTTTCAATATCTCTCTTATAAAATTAATCCAAAAGTCTCTGCTGTAAGCACGTACGACTCTTTATTGTTTACGTAATGTGGATCCTGTGTTGTTCTAAAAGGGGTTTTCAAATGATTTATAAAATGGCTAATAGGGGCGCCTGGGTGGCTCTGTTGGTTAAGGGTCTGCCTTCGGCTCAGGTCATGATTCGAGGGTCCTGGGATCGAGCCCCATCTCCAGATCTCTGCTCGGCAGGGAGCCTACTTCTCCCTCTGCCTGCTGCTCCCTCTGCTTGTGCTCTCTCTCTCTGTCAAATAAATCAATAAAATCTTTAAAAAAATGAATAATAATCAACAAGGTAAATTGAGAGTATTGCAGAAGAAACGTAAAATGTATAGGGCAACAGATATTTGACTCCCCAGCCTAGTCCTGGATCACAGTAATCTGCAGGTGTATGTTGTGTAAATGACATCTACAGATGCTGTCTTATACTGCAAATTATTTTTGGAGGTACCTGTGATGTTTTGTGAAATAGAAATGTACTTCTAGTGAATTCATAAACTTTTTTTATAAAGAGCAACTTCTCTTTTTAATTAGTAACTCAATTATCTGTTCTAATGGAGGAGGAGTAATTATGACTATATGGGAAAAATGATAATTTTTAATTCTCACTTTCTTGAATAATTTCAAAATTCCTTTCTCTACAATATCTACCAGAGTTAGTCCTAAAACTTACTACTAAGCTGCATAATGCTTTCTCATTGCTTCTTTTCAACTATATATATCTTTTGGAAGAGATTGAAGTGAGAAATTAAACATGAGCCCGAGAAAGGAAAAAAATTGAGAACACAGAAATTTCATTTGGCTAATAAACCAACGTATGTGGAACCAGATTATAAAATTAACTTTTTATCGCTTACAAAACATTTTAAAATAAGCACATTTATTTGCAGATTTACCTTAAAACGTGAAAAGGAAAAAAGAAGAAATGCTGATATATTATATGAAAAAATGAGGGAGCAATTCAGAGTAAAAGAAGAGCAGCATAATAAAGAAGTCGAACTGAAACAACAACTTGAACTTTCTCTTGGAACACTAGATGTGGAATTGAGGACTGTAGGAAATAATTTGGATCAGGTAAATCTTTGATAAAAATTGCCTATTTCGATCAATATTACTTATAATATCCCCTTGATTTAATGTATATTATTTAGGTATAAAATAGATAAACACTTTAATTTTATCCAAATAGGAACTATAATATTTTTAGCTAAAGTTATTAACTCACTGGGATTCTTGGCTTCTCCTATATGCTCTCTATATATTTCCTGAATGAAGGGATAGAAGGTAAATTGAGATAAATGTGAATGTTGGCTTTTTTTTTAAGATTTTATTTATTTTTAGAGAGAGAGCATGAGCAAGGGAAGGAGTAAAGGGGGAGGGAGAAGGAGGGAAAAGAATAAGAAGCTCAAGCAGACTGTGCGCTGAATGAAGAGCCCGACTCGGGGTTGGATCTTACAACCCTGAGACCATGACCTGAGCCAAAAGCAAGGGTAGGATACTTAACCAACTGAGCCACCCAGGCACCCCAGTTTTGGATTTTTTATGTTAAAATACAGGGCAAATCGCCTTGAGACTATGATGGAACTAGTTAAATGTTTTGTAAAGAAATTTTATTTCACATTCTATATCTCCTTGTACTTTATGACAAATTTAGCTTTCATTTAAATTAAAATTTGAATTATTCAGGATAAAAATCCTTGTATTTAAAAAGGCTACTACTTTTGAACATTTTTTTTAAGTTCTCTTAAGCTTTTGACTTTTTTTTTAATGGTGTGATCCAAAATCCTAATGAAAACATGTCCCTAGGTTGTAGAAGAGCGAAATGATGCTAAGTTACAACTTTCTCAAGAACAGAATGCCAGAGTATTACAAGATGGAATTCTAAAGAATCACCTTTGCAAACAAACGGAGATGAAGTGGCTAATAACAGAATGAATTCTGGGGTATTTTCTTTAGTTATTGTTAAGTACATGTGTGTATGTATTTGTATATATATACATTTTATTTTCTAAAATTATTTTTTCTCCATGTATGCATATATATATTTTAAAAACCAACACCGTAGATCGTGGAAAGCATAGAGGATTTTTAAAGCATATATGTCTGTGTGTGTGTGTGTGTGTGTGTGTGTGTGTGTGTGTGTATTTGGGGGGGCCTAAGGGATGGTGACATTTTTGGCCCAGTGGATAAAGTAATATCCTTAATTTAAATGCGTTTGTCTGCAAGAGTCAAATAGTGACGTTCATAATGTCCTCACCCAAAGGAGAGGCTTTTATTATTTTCCATAAGAATTGATGAGCTTTCCATATGCTCAAAACTATTGCTACTAACAACATATGTTTCAATTTTTGGCAGTTACTTCATCACCTCTGTATTGAAAGAGAAGTTAGCTTAACACTGCCAGTGATGAACAGGAGGAAGAATGTAGCCTGTTCAGAGACTTTATTTTGGATTTAGTCTCTACTTTTGAGAAAAGTAGCCATTTGCTCCAAGTAGTATCCAAAGCGCTTTTGAAACAATCATATGCTAATGATAACGTATTGATGAGTGTTGTATTCCTACTAAAATAGCTCAGTGTATTTTCCCCTATTTTAAACATTTTAAACATCATGAAGAGGAAATAAAATTTATTGCAGCAGCAAATAATCTCATGATTTTTCTAAGAGCTGTATAAATTTTACCTTATTTACCATCAGTATTTTGAAACATAAGGCTTCTTTTGTATTTATGATTTACACTAGAGAAGAGCTGCGGTTTGGTGTAAGAGCACTAGTAGTGAAGTAAGAAGACCCGGGGAATGTCCTGCAGCTCACTTAATGTTTTTAACCTCTCCATTCTAGAATTGTGATCATCAAAAAGTTCACTGATGTATGTAGAAGTGTTTATAGTATAGTGCTTAGATTTGTCAGTTATCAGTAGGTGTAGTTCTTATAACTGACTGTAGAAACGTTAGAAAAGTAGAATTTCTATGGAATATTGTCAGGAAAAAAGAATTTTAGGAAATTTAATCTGTCAAAATAAATGCAGAGCTAGGGATTTTATTGTGGGGGAGCTGTGTTAGATATCGGACTGTAAATTCAGTTTTTAGTGTAATCAGATTTATTAATCTTTTATTTCAGGCTTTCTGGGTTTGTTGTAAATCAGAGAAAGACCTTTCCAATTCTGAGATTCTTAAAAATTTTGTCTTGGTTTCTTTTTTCCTTTCATGCATTCACTGTCTTCAATTAAATTTTTGAACCTGTGGGAATTTATGCTGGTATAAAGTTTGAGGTTTGGACCCAACTTTATTTTTTTCCAGTTGGGATATCCACCAACTGCAACCTATTCATTGTATAAACATAGGTTATTCTTTAATTTCAGAGAAAATCATGATAATGTCATTTTATTGAATTCCAGCTAAAAGTCTCTTTTGTTTTACTTAGATTTCTAATAGTCATGAAAAAGAAGAAGATCTGTTGCCTAAAACGCACATGTGACAGGATGAAATTGCCATGCTAAGACTGGATCGAGACACAATAAACAATAAGAACCAGGACATGGAAAAGAAATATTGTGAAGGCATTGAAATTATAAAAGAAAAGAATGTCAGTCTTCAAGAGACCATAAAACTGAAGGTGGAAATATTAACAAAAACAATATTAGAATATAGTGGACAGATTAATGCTCTGACCACTGAGAATACAATGCTAAAGTCAAACGGGAGAATGAAAAGCAAAACAAAGACAGACTGGACAGAAAAGTTGAATCTTACCGAGCTAGACTTGCTACTGCTATAGAGGATTATGATCAAAGTCAGGCATCAAAAAGAGACCTAGAACTTGCTTTCCAGAGAGCAGAAGATGAATGGTTTCGTCTGCAGGACAAACTGAAGTTTGATGTGTCTAACCTAAAAGAAAACAATGAGCTTCTTTCTCAAAACCTTTCTAAAGCTGAAAGTAAATTCAATACTCTAGAAATTGAGCTCCATCACACAAGAGATGCTCTCAGGGTAAAGACTTTGGTTTTAGAATGTGTACAAAGAGACCTAAGTCAAACACAGTGTCAGAAGAAGGAACTGGAACACATGTATCAAAATGAACAAGGTTCTTAGAGGAGAGATTATCTCAACTACAAAGTGAAAATATGTTGCTTCAACAGCAACTAGACGATGCTCACAACAAAGCTGCCAGTAAAGAAAATGTTGTAATTAATATCCAAGACCAGTTTCAGGATATCATAAAAAAACTTCAAGCTGAAAGTGAAAAACAAGATCTTTCTCTGGAAGAAAGAAAGAGTTAATCAATGAATGTAATCTTTTAAAAGAAAGAATGTATCAGTATGAAAAGGAGAAAGCAGAAAGAGAAGTAAGTATCCAGAAAGATAAATATTTTTCAAGCTTTCTAAGAGAAAATTCAAAGTAATGTTTGATTATTATTATTTTTAGAGAGAAAGAGTGCACCTGCACATGAATGGGAGTGGGGCAGAGGGAGAGGGAGAGAGAATCCCAAGAGGGCTCCACATCAGAGAACGCCACCTCATGACCCCGAGATCATGACCTGAATGATTATGGCTGAATTTTGAATCTAGTTGAATATAAAAAATATAGAGACTCTAATTCAGCATAACTTGTATCCAGTAAATAAAAATTAAGATTTGAGAGGTGCTTTAATTTGAATAAAATTGTTGTGTCGTCTATGAAAGTTTAAGAGGTTAAGTTATCAATTGTTAATAGATAGTAGGCTGATATTAATAATTTAGTCTTATACTGCTAAAATAATAACTTTAATCTTTGTCACCACATTTTAATACCATGATGAATAGATAAATGGAAATGTTCATACCTGAAATGAGCATTTTGAAATTGAGATTCAATTAAGTGGATGAACTTGACGGTGTACTCCAGATTTCCCACATGAACTGAATTCAGTGTAGATGCTGTATGTCAGTACTTTTCCTTTGGTAGCTTTTTATACATTTTAGGTTGGAAAAATTTTATTTTTATTTATATAAATTTGAATTTTTAGTCTGAAATTATGTATCTTATGAGCTTTTAACTCTTTGCAGACACTTTTCATTAAATCATAATTTGGAACAACTGTGGTGAGCTTTAGCAAAACTGTTTGATTTAATCTTCCCACTGCTATTTATAATTTTTTAAGGCAATTTTACAAATAATTTGCTTCTTTCAAAGCTCAATTACTATCATTTGGGCATGAGTTTGTCCAATACAAAGAGAATTGTATCTGAAATATATTAATTTGGCATTGGATCTCGATTTTCAGATTAATGGGGGGCGGCAGGATTCTTGTGTAGCAGGAATGGAGGTCAGGGAGGGAGGTGAAAGCCAGGTTATCTAGGGCCTCGAAGCCCATTAGAATGACTTCACTTTTGTTCTGAGATAGTAATCTCTTGGAAGGATTTGAGCAGAGGATGGAATATGTGAGGAACTTTGACATTAATTTAAGCCTCTAATAAAAAAGAGGGAAAACATTTCATAATGTCGAATTTACCACTGCTAGGCTCACCTATATACCCACTTCTTTTTGAGACTTCAGTAGGCTGGGAAGCTTTGCAGATTCATCAACAAGGAATGCATAGTGAGGCTGAATTAATTATCTAAGTAACCTAATACTGACCAGGCAGGAGGATCACACCTGTATGTGGTGATATTTTTCAAAGTACATATGTTTGAGTTATGTATTATTAACATAACTTAATAGTAAGATAATTTATAAAATCAGTAACAGAAACGTCTTATTAGGTAGCTGTGAGACACCTTCAGCTAGAACTGGCTGATGCCCTAAAAAAACAGTCTATGTCAGAGGCTTCACTGGAGGTTATATCACGTTGCCGTATTAATTTAGAAGATGAGACACAGGATTTGAGGAAGAAATTACGTGAAATCAGACGTCAGGTATGTTTTGAATGTATCA